TGTCCTTCTTTGGTCAGAAATAAACCTCTATCAGAAATAAACCAATACTTGAAATAAACATTCATTTTACTGAGACTGTAGTTTAATGCTCTCTGGTATTAACTTGTAAAACTCTGCATTAGAACAAAAAGAGGATTCTTTTTCCCCTTAGACTGATTTCTATTGCTCCTGCCATTGTTGCTATCATAGCTACCACATGTTCAGTGCCCGTGACGTGCCAAACACTGCATAATCCGCTTTGTGCTCTTACAATTTATGAGTATAAATTAGCCCCAGAGAGGTCAAGGGACCCAGGGCGGTCAAACAGGAAGAAGTCACCCCGAGTCTCTAACTCAGGTCTGTGTGGCTCTGAGGCCTGTGCCAGTATTATCTGTGCAACAAGTAAGTTATTAAAAAAAAAAGAAAAGAAACGCACTTTCTCTTTTTAGAAGCCCCCCTCACAGAAGCGGTCACAGGTTCTGACATGCAGCAGCAGCCAGCAGCTCGGGCTGTGCACAGCTCAGCAATGCCCAAGCTCCCCTCTCACCTGCAGTGGAGTCCACGTTCTCCCAGGCGGCCGCCCCACCCAGCACGTCATCCACTTCTTTCAGCTTCGGATACTTGCGATTGGTCACCTACAGACAACGGTGCACGTCAGTGAACATACAGATCCGGGCCATCACACCCAGCTCCCACCCCTGCCCGCGAGGGCCTCCCTCCCCAGCCGCCCCTCCTGCCACAGCCTGGAGAGCTGCTGAATGAAAACCACGTTCTCGCTGCCGGGGAGCAGCACTGCCTTGGAATGTGAAGACCTGTTGGCATCCGGGGCCGCGGGACGGGAGGGCCGCCAAGAGGCTGGGGTGCTGCTGGGGCCAAGCAGCACCTCAGGGCGCGGACTCAGAGAAGCGAGGCTCGGTGCCAGCTTCCCTCTGCGCGGGGACTGCCTGCCGAGGGTGCTGGACGCGGGACCGGCTCATCCGACACGGGCGGTAGCACGGCCGCTCTGGCCGCCGCTGTGACCACAGCGAAAGGGGCACCTGCGAGCACGGAGCCCCGGGGGAGGGAACGGCGATAACCAGGGTGATGGCACTGGGGAGGGACCGATTCTAGGGCCGGATTCTAGGGGGACTCCAAGGCAGAGACGACGGGACGCGGGTGACAGACGGGCGGGTGGAGGCGGGCCCGGGACGGCGGGCGGGGAGCGCCGCGGGAGGCCTGCGGGAGACGCGCGGGCCCCCCCGGGCTCCGGGACCCACCTTGCGGGTGATGTTGTGCACGTAGGGGCAGGTGTTGCAGGCGAAACGGTGGCAGCGCTGTCCCTCCTCCACGATGAGCCCGTTCCCGCAGCCGGGGCAGAAGAGCAGCATGACTGCCGCCCCGCAGGCTCCCGCAGGTCCCGCGGCCCTCGCGGTTGCTCAGGCGCCGACACTAGGCCCGCCTCCAGCTCTCATTGGCTCGTGCCGCCACCCCTCAGCCCACCAATAGGCACGCCGGCTTCGCGCTCCCAGCGAGCTCTGCGGAAGGCCTCGCACTTATTGGCTCTCGCGGAAGCCCCGCCCCCACACGCCCACTGCGGAAGTGCGTGCTGTGCTTCCGGTTGTGCGCGCCCAGCCTGGCTCCCGCGGAGCTGTGGTGCGGCCCGGGGCGCGTGGGGCAGCGAGCCGCCCTGGAGGAGGCGCAGGCGGAGGCGGAGGCGGCGGCGGCACGGCCCGAGGCGCGTGAGGACGATGAGGACGAAGAGGAGGCGCTGCCGCACTCCGAGGCGGTGGACGTGTTCCAGGAGGGTCTCGCCATGGTGGTGCAGGACCCGCTGCTCTGCGACCTGCCCATCCAGGTGCGCGCGTCCCCTGCGGGGCTGTGCGAGGGGCGTGGACAGGTCCCGGGGCTGGTGGGGCTGCGACCCAGAGGCCTCGTAAGGCACCTCTGGGTGTAAACGGGGGTCCTAATCTGGGCCGGGCCGGGCCGCGGGTGGGGCGAGCGAGGCTCTCGCTCGAGATTTAAAAGGCTCGAGACCCCTCCAGCAGCCAGGATACATGCCTTTTCTTTTTTTTTTTTTTCGGGGACACATGACATTTTAATACAGTATGTTTATAACTCAAGTTGGTGTAAAAAAGCCTGTGGCAAGCAAAATAATAAAGACTATGTCAGTATTACTGGTTTTTCCCATCTCACACTTCAATGTTATTTTGTCCATCATGGAGTTTAATTTCTGTTTTCTTAAAGATTGTATTACAGCGTTTGTTATTGCACGCCTGCCAAACCTTGTCCCGAGGCCCTGGTCTGGGTCCTGATGGGTGATCGGGGCTCGGAATGAATGACAAGCACAGTGCTCCTCCTACCCAGCCCCTGGGTGAGAGGATCCAGGGCTGTTTGTTCTTGCCTGTGTCTATGTTCCTTTCTTCCAAGCTTCCATCCACTTTGGACTTTAAATAGGAAATGTGGATGAAACATGAGCTCAAGGTGCTAAGAAACTGGGAAGCCCTAATATAGTGGTTCTCAACCTTCCTAATGCCGTGACCCTTTAATACAGTTCCTCATGTTGTGGTGACCCCCAATTTCATTGTTACAAATGGAACATAAAGCATAGTGATTAATCACAAAAACAATATGTAATTATATATGTGTTTTCCGATGGTCTTAGGCGACCCCTGTGAAAGGGTCGTTCGACCCCCGAAGGGGTTGTGATCCACAGGTTGAGAACCGCTGTCCTAATATGTAAGCAAGACTCCCCATTCTTGTCCTTCCTAAAATATGGCACCACGTTCTGGACACTCGCAGCATATTCCTTGTTTGGGGTGTTAGGGAGCCAGGCACTCACCTCCACCCTGGGTCTTTTCCAGGTCACTTTGGAAGAGGTCAATTCCCAAATAGCCCTGGAATATGGCCAAGCAATGACAGTCCGCGTGTGCAAGATGGATGGAGAAGTCATGCGTAAGTGCTGCCCTCCTCCCTTCCGGCCAGGCAGGCTGAGCCTCCACAGGGGCTGGTCAGCGGGATACCGAGCGGCCATCCACAAGCCCATCCGCCTGGACCTGAGCCGCAGTCAGAAACAAGGCTGGACAGGGCTTCTGGGTTCCCCTCCCACCACCTGTGGCCGTGGCCGTGGCCGTGGCTGCGGGATCTGCTCTCACGGTGCCCCCTGTTGCAGCTGTGGTTGTGGTGCAGAACGCCACGGTCCTGGACCTGAAGAAGGCCATCCAGCGATACGTGCAGCTCCGGCAGGAGCGCGAGGGCGGCATCCAGCACATCAGCTGGTAGGTGCAGCCGCGGCTCCTTGCAGCCCTCCCTGGGGGTGGTGTGGGGCTCCGCAGGAGCAGCGCTGGACTCGTGCTTCTTAATCACCTGGTCTCTGCTACAAGTACTGACTGGAGCAGAGAGCTAGCTCCTGTCGCAGTCCTCCAGACACGGCTGGTGCTCTGTGCCGAGGGGCTGGGCGACGCACCGAGAGCCCTTCTCACGCAGCTTCTACTAGCACGTCCCAGCCACTCAGCTCCCCCTGCTCACGGTTTCCCTGAATCCCTCTCGCGCAGGTCCTATGTGTGGAGGACGTACCATCTAACCTCTGCGGGAGAGAAGCTCACAGATGACAGGAAAAAGCTCCGGGAGTAAGTTCAGGCCGCTTCCTTGAGCTGCAGGGCCTGGCAGGTCAGGGTCCCACCGAGCCAGGAAGAGGGAGGAAGAGTGTGCATGGAGGGGAAGGCTGCCTGCTGGCCCGGTAGGGGCCTGTGGGAGGGTGGCACTGCCCCGCTTGCCTTCCTGGACCCCACACTCGTCCCACCTGCTCTTGCCTGGTTTCTCACAAGCCCCAGGTGAGGAGTCAGACAGAGCCCTCTGTAGTTAGATACTGGACACTTCTCCTTCTCTTCCAGCTATGGTATCCGGAATCGGGATGAGGTGTCCTTCATCAAAAAACTGAGGCAGAAATGACCCTCCAAACAGAGACACTCTGTGCCGGTGGCCAAGCTCCTCCCCAGCGGGAGGACGCCTCGGGCACTGTCCCCTCTTCACAGGAGAGTGCTGGGATGGACTCGCCCAGCTGGGCACAGCTGGCACTGCCGGTGTGAGCCCTGGGCCTCGGGAGTGGGACTGGGTGAGGCAGTGTCAAGACCCAGGTTTGCCCTAGCTGGTTTGGCTCAGTGGATAGAGCGTCGGCCTGAGGACTGAAGGGTCCCAGGTTCGATTCCAGTCAAGGGCATGTACCTTGGCTGCGGGCACATCCCCAGTAGGAGGTGTGCAGGAGGCAGCTGATCGGTGTTTCTCCCTCATCGATGTTTCTAACTCTCTATCCCTCTCCCTTCCTCTCTGTAAAAAATCAATAAAATATATTAAAAAAAAAAAAAAAAAGACCCAGGTTTGACCCCTTCTGGGCCCAAACACCCTAATTTCACAGCCGATCCCACAGGCTGTGGGCCTGGCCCTCTGTACGGAATAAATCTCTTTGCTTTCTAGTTTGAAAAGTCAAAAAGCCACAGTACCGGGACATGAGGGCCTGGCGCAGCCCCATCGTGGGGGGGGGGGGGGGGGGGGCAAGGGGCAGAGAATGGCCTGAGTCTAAGATGCCACACGACCCTGTGACTCTGAGCTCTATAGCAAGAAAATAACAGCAGAGCAGCTGGCTTCTGCTTGTGGAGAAACGGGAGCCTGTGTGCGAGAGCACAGCCATGGCCGGCCTCCCGGCCTCAGCCCGCGGGGTTCATCCACCTCAGGCCCTCCCGGCTCCTGGAAGGGGAGGTAGCCTGGGGCTGAAATTGGAGCTGGGGCCCTTGTGTGTGTGGGGAAACGTGACCGCTCCTCCATGGGTCTTAAGGGAGCAAGGTGAGTCCGCCTGGCTTACGGACTTCCCTGGGGGAGGAGTCTGAGACACCCTGTCAGAAAGGAGGCGGCAGCTCTGGTCGAGTTAGTGGCAGCTAAAACGCTCCCAGTCCGTTTATTGGCCACACGAGGTGGTCGTCAGGAGACTAGAAGGTAATCACAGGAACGAGTGTAATAAATGCCCAGAAGTACGAGAGGTTCAACAGCAGTGAACGAGGCACAGGAGGTCTGTGTCCAGGAAACGGGCAGGACGCCCCCAGGGCCTGCTGACAGCCCGTGGCGTGAGGCTCGGTGGGCAGTGCCTGGCTCCAGCCTGCTGGAGGCCCGTGGCCCCAGCGCCCCCACCCGCTCAGTGGAGCTGGGCGTCCAGCTCATACTTCTCACAGAACTTGTCGGTGAAGGGGATGCAGGTGAGGAACTCGCACCACTCGCAGCGGACGGGGTAGAAGTAGAAGAGGACCACCAAGCCGGCCAGGAGGCCCAGGAAGACCACCTGGAAGACGATGATCTGGCAGCGCTTCCGGTACAGGTCGAACCTGCCGAAGCTGATGTAGGGCAGGAAGGCAAAGGAGAGGAAGAGGCCGCTGATGAAGCCCGAGATGTGGGCGAAGTTGTCGATCCAGGGCAGCAGCCCAAAGGTGAAGAGGAAGAGTACCACCGCCAGCAGCTTGAAGAAGGCGCGCCAGGGCCGGGCCAGGATCTGCCAGCTCTGGAAGAGCTCCACGAAGAGGCAGGCCAGGATGCCAAACTGCGAGCCGGCCGGGCCCACCTGGGGGCAGTGGGGGTGCTGAGCAGGACCCCTGGGCCCACAGCCACCCCGCCTCTCATGGCCCAGAGCATAGCAGGACTGAGGAGCCAAATGGAGACACTCCTAGGCTGGGTCCCTGGGGCGGCCTTACCTCTGCCCGGTATGGCAGGAAAATGGCACTGGCCAGGTTACCAGTGATGCCACTCAACAGGTAGATGATGGCTATGCGGTGCCAGCCTGCTAGCTTCTCCAGGTCCCGCAGGACCGTCATCTGGAAGCAGACAGACACCAGGCAGTGCAGGATGCTGTGGGGGGAGGGGGACACTCAGCCGGGAAGGCCTCCCCTCCACCATCCCCTGGCCAGCCACTCCTGGGGTCCCTGAGGCCGCCCAGCCCTCCTCGGCCCGTCTGGTGTCACTTGCCCAGCGTGCAAGAAGAGGGACAGCCACAGGCGGTAGAACTGGTCAGGCACCTCGGGGTTGAGGAAGGGCAGGAGCCCGCACACGTCATCCATGCAGTGCACCTGCGCAGAGTGGCCTGTCAGCGCGCTCCGTGGCTGGGGGCGAGGGGACGCACACACCCCGGAGGCCTACCTGAGAGCAGAGCGTGGCCTCCTCGTGGAAGTAGCCCCTCATGAAGTCGCAGTACTCCCGGGAGGTGATCTCACACCTGCAAGGGCAAGCCCGGCTTGGGAAGTGGCCGAGGGGCTGGGGCCCGGGGCACAGGCACCTGGCTGCACCACCCAGGCCTAGGCTGCAGCCCACGCGCCCATCTGTCGGCCCTGGGTAAGCCCAGAGCCTTTCTCACCCCCACCCCTGCGTATCTCGCCTTATTCCAGGACTTGGAGAAGCCAGGGCCCCAGAGCAGTGCTCGGGCCCAGGCACACCCACCTGCCCTTGGTGCCGATGCAGCAGGGCCGGCCCGTGATGGCACAGTCCATGTGGGGGTGGTTGGTGTGGTTCCCGGCGCTGCTTTTGGTGCAGATCTGGATCACAAAGGGGACGAGTTGGGTTGGGGCCGCCTCCAACCCTGTGCCCCAACACCGTGCTTGGGGGTTGGGGCCAAGATGGGCAGGCTCCCACAGGAGAAAGCAGGCCCTGACTGAGCCTCAGCTTTCCCGTCTGTCACATTGAAATAATGGCATCTGGCCTCCCGAGTCTCTCCCTGGTTCTGCTCTGACGACCTGCTCAGAGAAGCAGGTGGTGGAGGGGCAGGCCAGGCACGGGCCAGGGGCACTGCATCTGAAAACGGGGGCTCCCATGGTGGGGCCTCTTGGAATCCAAATGAGAGTGTGGATTTCTCCCCCACATAACAAGGGTGGCCCCCAAAGCCAACAATATCCCGGCTCACCGGCCACTTGGTGATGTCATCTGGCCACTCATGGGGGTCCTCGGAGGAGGGCTCGTCACACACCCTGCATGAGCCCAGTGTGCGGTCAGATCCGCGCTGTGCCCTCCCGCCCACCTCCACAAGGGGAGCGGCCACACCCTCGCCCCCACTTCCCAGGGAGGCAAGAGCGGGGCCAGCAGGACTGACCTGGGGTCCTGGTGACAGACAGAACCAAACTGCCTCTTGTGGCCGGCGAGGTCGGGGGCGCTGGGATGGGAAGGCCACTTCACCCACACTGCCAGCGTGGACTGTGGGAAGAGGGTCAGTCCGGTCAGAGCCCACCCCTCCCGCAACACGGCTTCCAGAAGGCAGGAGGCAAAAGCAAAACCACTGGGATCCCCCTGAGCCCACAACCCAAAATCTACAAATGCACATTCCGGAAATGTGTGTGCAAGTGGGAGTGTCTACTGTCAGCTCAAGAGCATGATTCCTATTCGCAGAAAACTAAAAACAACCAGTGTCCAAAACCAGGGACTGGCATACACTTCGGTACCTCCTCATAAAATGATGTAATAAAAACTTGAATGAATCTCTTTTTGTGTAATTGTTTAGTGGAAAAAATAAGGCAATACCGCTTATGGAAACTTAAGACATGCCCCAAAACAAGACACACAGAAAGCACACCCAGATCAGAGACCTCACAGTGGTTGTCTACAGCAGTGGTCGGCAAACTCATTAGTCAACCGAGTCAAATATCAACAGTACAAGGATTGAAATTTCTTTTGAGAGCCAAATTTTTTAAACTTAAACTATATAGGTAGGTACATTGTTATTAACTTAATTAGGGTACACCTAAGGCTTAGGAAGAGCCACACTCAAGGGGCCAAAGAGCCGCATGTGGCTCGCAGCCGCAGTTTGCCGACCACGGGTCTACAGGATGAGGAGGAGGAATTGGGGATGAACAGTGATGAATGTGACGTGAGGGACCTGGCACAGAGGGTGGTGCCATGTGCCAAGACCTAGGATAAGGGATACCCGGCTCCATCTGAAGTCACAGCATAACCCCATCCCAGGGGCGCAGACAGGGGCTGGCCGCGGGCAGGGGCACGCACCGAGCACTCCTCCTCCGAGGTCTGCACGCAGCCGGACCGGTCATTGCGCACGCAGCAGGCCGAGTGCTTCTCCCGCTCCCGCGCGGCGCGGATGAAACTATCCACCTGCGGGTCCTGGCGCATGCAGGGCGAGAACTTGGCGCCCAGGTGAATGAGGGCCTCCTGCGGGAGCGGGATGCGCAGCTGAGGCCCAGCCCCGCCCGCGCGGGGTCCTCACCCGTCGCCCTGCCGGCCCCACCCTCACCGAGCTGGGCCCGATCCAGAAGTTCTCCTGCTGCACATACTTGACATTCTCATAGACCCCTCGGTTCCGCAGCACCTGGGAAGTTGGGGCGAGAGGTCAAAGGCCGCCCCCTCCGGCCCTTTCCTCCCAGAGCCCAGACTTCACTGGTCTCGGCCCAGGAAGCACGCGGGGCTCACCGAGTCCACCGTCTCGTGCTGCGAGAAGCCCACGGGTGCGATGCCGTAGATGCAGACGGCGAGGATGGTGACGAGCGAGTGCACGAAGGTGAGCCAGTAGGTGAAGAAGGGCCTGCGGCAGAAGCATCAGCAGAGGCGGTGGCTCCAACCTGGGCCCCCAGCCCCACCCGGAGCCTGGCCGGCCCTCAGTCCCACCCCCGGCCCCACCTGTGATCATCCATGTCCTCGATCTGGCGCTTGACGTAGCTGTCGATGCGCTTGCGGTAGGTGCGGTTGGTGAGGCGGCCCACCATGCCCAGCCCGTACGGCCGCTTCTCCCTGGCGAAGAACCTGCGCACCGGCATCGCGATCCGCTGGCCCCGCCGCTGCCCCGCCGTGCTCACCACCTCCTGGCGCAGCCGCACCTTGGGCTGCGGGGCCACGGGGCCGCCCTCCTTCTGCTTCCGCCAGCCGCGCTCCAGGGGCCTGCGGCGAGGGGCACCGTCAGCTCCCACCCCCCGGCCAGGTCCTGCTCCAGCTCCGTGTGCTCCCAGGTAGAGGTGAGACCCTGCGCACCCCCCCACCCCCCCACCCCCCGCCAGTGAAGAGCCATCCTGAGCCCCTCCGGGAGGCAGGGAGCGGGGACCAGACCTGAGCGGTCCCCTGGCCTCCCCGCCGCCTTCCGACCAGCTGAGGGCTCTGGACTGCGCTCCTGTTCCACGGTGGGCAGCTGAGACTCGAATGGCGCCCCGCCCTGGGTCCCCGCCACAGCAGCCAAGGAGACCCCTTCCCTCGGCTCCCCAGGCAGTACTGCCCTGGGGTCCCAGCTGCTCCTGACCGCCGCACCCCCTCTGCTCCCGCACCGCCGCCACTCACAGCATCAGGTGGCTGCGCTCCAGCTCCGAGCGGTCCAGGGCCCCGCCCGTGAGGTCCGCCTGGTCCGGGGCCTTCTCCCAGTCCTTGAGCGCTGCCTCTGACGGGGACTCGAACACCTCGTCTGGGTATGTGGACAGCTCCTCGTGGAGGACACCTTCCTGAGCAAACACGAGTGGTCAGCGTGAGGCACAGACGGAGGATGGCGGAGGCCTCGGCTGACAGCCCGTCTCTTACCCGGGCGAAGAAGGAGGTGTCCAGCTCATCGGGGAAGTCCGCCGTGTCCTCCTCCAGGAAGCTGGCGGGGGTGAAGCTTCGGCGCTGCGCCCGGCGCAAGGTGCCGTCCCTCACCGAGCGACCCTGCCGGCCAGGGGGTGAGCGGCCAGGGGGTGAGCGTGTGGCCTGCACCCCTGCACCGGGGTCAGCCCCCCTTCCCCCGCCAATCCCAGCCCCTGCACCCACCTTCACCAGCGCTGCGGCCGCGCGGAAGCTCATCTTGGCCACAGACTCACGCTTGCGCCTCCGCGGAAGCCGGTTGAAGCCCGAGCGGGAGCTGGAGAAGGAGCAGAGGGAGGCGGCACCGGGAGTGACGGGCGTGTGCGGGGTGCTCAGGCCGTCGGCGGTGTCATCCGCCATGCGGAAGGCCCGGCCCCGGGCCAGGGGGTCTATGATCTGGTGGAGGGGAGGAGACGCAGGAGTCGGGGGGCTAGGTCGTCACCCCAGAAGCTCCTTCCCCACCCTGTGGAGGACACAGTGGGCACCTGGACAGCTAGGGTACCACCCCCACCCTACTGCACCCAGAGGAGTCCCTCTCCCCATTTGCAGTGCCTTTACGCTGCTGTTCACCCTGGGATGCTCTCCCATCCAGAGCTGGCCCCATGGTGCACCCCCGACCCCCCTTCCCAGAAGGTATCTTAGGTGTCTCTAGGGGACCACCAGACCATGAGCTCCAAGGAACCTCCTCCGCTCAGGTTGGCTATGTCCCCAGCCCCAGCCCAGGGGAGCAGAGAGAGAGGCCTTTGGGGGGCCACAGGGGCGGGCATACCTTTTGCATGCCCAGCTGGCATGGCCCGACGTACAGCGGAGGGGGCGTCTCCGTGCTGGTGAGCGACACGTTGTCCTGGCTGGGCAGGTCCAGCTCCCGGATGACCTGGGGCTTCAGCTTCCCATAGCGCTGGCTGCAGTGGCGGATGCTCTTGCGCTGCCACTTCTGGGTGCTGTCACTGTCCTTGCTCACTCCGAACCAGTCGGCGGTGCCCCTGCCGTGGGAGGGGCTCAACAAGGGGGCGCCAGCCCTCTCCCCTCCCAGCGGGGGCCCCAGAGTCCTCCTCCTGGGTAGCATCTCTACCCCAAGCCTCCAGTCACTCCAGGATCTGGGGTCCAGTGGGCTGGGTTCAGTTAAGAGGATGAGTGGGTTCAGCGCTGGCCACCCCCTAAACAATTAGCCAACTCCCAATTCCCACTAGAACCGCAGAGAATAGGCCTGTCCAGGTGAGTATTTTACCCAGGCTCACACCCCATCCCTCAGAGGGGGCTTAGTGGGGAGACACTGAATCCAGAGATGGTGCTCAGAGCTCAGCCCTTAGCTCATCCAGAGAGAGCTTAGCCCTGGGCAGCAGTTTGACCTTTGACACCACAGAACTCAAGAAATGGGTAATGCAAGCCCAGGCAGGCTGCCCACAGCCCTTGGACATGCAAGCAAAACACTGCCTGCCAACACCTGCTGTCAGGAGCCCCAGGGAATGCAAACCATGCTGGCAGCTCCCAAGCGGTCCCAAGCCATGCACACGCCAGCCAGCTGATGCTAACACACTCACACCTGCAGGTACCTGAGCAGGGACCGCGAGAGAGACCGGCGCTGTGGGAGGGCCCTGCGGGCAGCAGGGGAACCCAAGAGGGGCAGAGTGTGGACACGCCCAAAGCGCACCTGTCGGCTGTTCAGGGACCAGAGCATTGAGGTGGGGGAGACAGAGAAGGAGAGAGCAAGTGCTGGGGGAGCAGAGAAGGGTGGTAAGGTGAGAGGAGTCGGTCCCCAGAGCAGGAGGAGGGAGGGTGACATGGGGAACAAGACCCAGGAGAAAGCTGAGACAGGAGAGACCCTGCCCCATTCCCAGCCTCGGCACCTAAAGAGGACCCTGTGTGCCTGCCTCTGTCCCCCCGGCCCCAGCCCTCACCCCTGGAGCAGCCAGGGCAAGGCGCAGTACCTGCGGATGGTCTGTGTGATCGATGTCTGGCGATGCAGCACCGGCCGGCGGGGCTCATGGTAAGGGGAAGGGACGTAAGCTGTCTCAGCCGGCATGCTCACACTCCGCAAGAAAGCCTGGCGTCTCAGGGGCTGGGTGACGGGGTCATGGTGAGGGGGCTGGGCAGGAGGGACCCACAGCCCATGCTGGCCAGGGCCTGCCTGCGGGAAGCTGGGGTCCTCCGCCGCCGGGGGCACCACAGCTGGAATGTCCAGCTTCAGCCAGGGGGGCTTCTTGCGCTGCAGGCTGCTCGTGCTGTCCCTGCGGGCCTCGCTCATGGTTCCGCGTGCAGCAAGGCGGGCCTGGGGGTGGCAGAGAAGGGTGGGAGGTGAGAGGTGTCTGAAGGTTCCTTGGGCCCAGACCCAGGTGAACGGAGAAGCAGTGATAACCCCAACAGGGTGGTCACGATCCGGCTGCTGATGTCCTGTGTGCTCAGCACTGCCGTACGCAGTCAGTCCCCGTCTCGGTCATCCTGACAGACATTGCTGTGCAGGTACCAGGTCCTCAGACAACATAAACTCATGTGACAAATACTGGAGCACCTACTATGATCCACTCCTAAGTGCTTGGGACACATTAGTGGAGAAAAGAAGAAACCAAAAACAGACAAAATCCCAGCCTTCCTGGAGCTTACAGTCCAGATAAACAATCCTATCTAATAAAAGAGAAACCTGGTAATTGGCGTACAACCGCTATCCTTCCCATTGGCTAATCAGGGCGATATGCAAATTAACTGCCAGCCAAGATGGCGGCCGGCAGCCAGGCAGCTTGAAACTAACATGAGCTTGCTTGCTTCAGTGATGGAGGACTCCAACATTCCCCGCCTGCCTTGCCAGCCTCTGAGCTTGCAGTTTGAAACATTGTAACAAATAAAGAAGCTAAACAAAACCCCAGAAACCTGCTTTCAGCCAGCTGGGATCTCAGAGCTGGAGTTATACATTGTTTCGATTATAGAACCCAAACAAACCAGATACCTGCTTTCAGCAGCAGAGGCCTCAGAGCTGGAGCCAGAGCTAAAGCTGGCCCAGAATAAAAAAAGAAAAGAAAAAAAGGAGCAATTGGGAGCTTCAGTCACCCGCCAGCCTGAAAACAGCCCTCAGCCGCTCACCCAGACTGGCCAGGCACCCCAGTGGGGACCCCCACACTGAAGGGTGTGTGACCAGCTGCAAACAGCCATCATCCCCTCATCCAGGCTGGCCAGGCCCCCAGTGGGGACCCCCACCCTGATCCAGGACACCCTTCAGGGCAAACCAGCCAGCCCCACCCATGCACCAGGCCTCTACCCTATATAGTAAAACGGTAATATGCCTCCCAGCACCGGGATCAACGGAGCCGAGACGTCTCCCGGCACCGGGATCAGCGTGACAGGGAGCAGCGCCCAAACCCCCTGATCGCCCTGCGGCTCTGTGTGTGACGGGGGTGGGGCCACAACCTCCCTATCTGCCCTGCTCTGTTCGTGACAGGGGAAGGCGCCCCAGCCTCCTGATCAGCCCTGCTCTGTGCCTGATATGGGGGAGCTCCCCAACCCCCTGATCGCCCTGCGGCTCTGTGTGTGACAGGGTGCGGTGCCCCAACCCCCCACCACGGGCCCTGCTCTGTGTGTGACAGGGTAGAGCCATAACCTCCCCATTGGCCCTGCCCTGAGTGTGAGAGTGGTGGCGCCCCAACCCCCTGATCGGCCCTGCTCTGTGGGTGATAGAGTGCAGCGCCCCAATCCCGCCCCCCCCCACGGACCCTGCTCTGTGTGTGATGGGGTAGAGCCATAACCTCCATCGGCCCTGCCCTGAGTGTGACAGTGGCGGCGCCCCAACCCCCTGATCGGTCCTTCTCTGTGTGTGACAGGGTGTGGCACCCCAACCCCCTGATCCGCCCTGCTCTGTGTGTGACAGGGGGCGGTGCCCCAACTCCCCTATCGGCCCTACTCTGTGAGTGACAGGGGGGAGCTCCTCAACCCCCTGATGGGCCCTGCTCTGTGCGTGACAGGAGGCAGCGCCCCAACCCCCTGATTGGCCCTGCTCTGTGCATGACAGGGGTTGGCGCCGCAACCTCCCCATCGACCCTGCCTTGAGTGTGACAGGGGGCGGTGCCCCAACCCCCCAATCGGCCCTACCCTGAGCGTGACTGAGGGTGGCATCGCAACCTCCCAATCCGCCCTGCTCTGTGCATGACAGGGGGCGGCGCCCCAACTCCCCAATCGGCTCTGCTCTGAGCCTGACCAGGGGCTGCACCTAGGGATTGGGCCTGCCCTCTGCCACCCGGGAGCAGGCCTAAGCCAGCAGGGCGTTATCTCCCGAGGAGTCCCAGACTGCGAGAGGGCACAGGCCGGGCTGAGGGACCCCCCCTTCCCCCCCCGAGTGCACAAATTTTTGTGCACCGGGCCTCTAGTCTATATATATATATATAAAAGCCCAAATGGGCCTACTGGTAGCTATGACACACATTGACCACCAGGGGGCAGACACTCAACCCAGGAGCTGCCGAGCTACAATGACTTGGCAACTATGGTTATCGGATTATGCAGCCGGAACCGGAGAGGAGGGAGCCGGATTCCGGGGTGCGTCACCCAAGAACCACCCTCTCGCAATCCAGGACCCCTCGGGGGATGTCGGAGAGCTGGTTTCGGCCTGATCCCTGCAGGCCAGGCTGAGAGACCCCACCAGTACACAAATCCGTGCACCAGGCCTCTAGTGAATCTATAAGTAGATATTTTGTTTAAGGGTGCAAAGTATGACAGGGACAAAATCAGCACATTACAGTTGCTGAGCGCAGTGATGCCTCCTTGTGAAGTGACATCTGAACAAAGGCTTGAAGGAGGTTATCAAGTTAGCAAGGCTTGGAGGGGGGCAGGGGCAGAAGGAGGGGGTTGTTCCTGGCACAGGGAACCGCCAGAGCAGAGATCTGAGTGAGTGTGAGGACACTGCCAGGCTGAGGAGCTCACCCATCCATACACAGGGCAAATCTGAGACCTCACCCTCTAACCACCATGCCATCGGCTCCAGAGAGAAAGGCTCACAGGTGGGGTCTGCGAAGGCTCCAGGTCACAGAGGAGTGGCCACGTGGCTTCCCAGAGTCTGAGAGCTGTTACCACTACAGGAACCTCCTGAAAACCACCTGGGCGCAGGCGCTGCCATGACCACCAGGGGGTGCCATGCGCCCATAAATACCAGCAAAGAAAGCTCAGCCATGGGAGGGCTGCTTGTCCAGCATCAAACCTAAGTATGAGACCCACCCCCAAACCTTTCGCTTAGGCGCAGGGTAAGGCCCAGGACCCCGAGCAGAGAGGCCAGGGTTGGATGTGGGCCGCCTCTGCCCGGCCATGTAACCGAGAGGCAAAGGTCATGGGACCGTGGCCCACCTGGCACCCTATTTCCCCCCTTTACAAAACGTCACTTTCAGCACAGATCTGAACCCTCCTCCCCAAAGGACCACACGGGATCTGAAAACAGGGTATCCAAGATTGAGAGGGCTCCCTGAGCACAATGGGGGACATGGGCACCAGGGGAGAGGCCGAGCAAAACTCAGGAAGGAGACCTCAAAATTCCTCAAAGAGCTTCAGACCCCGACAGGTCTGTAACCCACCCACCAACACCCCTAGAAACAGCTTCCACATGTGAGCCTCCCTTGCCACTGCTTGCAGTAAATATAGAGAAAGCCCCGCCCATACCTTAGAAATAAGGAAACTGAGGCCTAAAGAGGCTTGATTTGCCCAAAGGCACATATTCAGGGTAGCATCACTGGGGACAGGTCTGGGATGCTGCTCACATCCCCTACTGGACTTAGACAGAGAAGGGCCAGGACTGTGCTCAGAGCAACTCTGGCTCTAGAACAACCAGGAAAGCGCTCGCTTACACTGCACAGGGAGGCAGGATGCGAGCAGAGCTCCTCCTGCCCCAGACCAGGGACAGGCCCAGGACAGTTCTCACAGCTGCCACTACACAGACCAAAAACAGCCTGGACACTGCTCACAGCTCCTCCTGGCCCTATATCGACTGGGGCCGGGCCAGGATGTGGCTGGCAGCTCCTATTGGCTTTATACCAAACAGGGCTGAGCCCAGAATACTATTCACAGTTCCTACTGCCTCTACACTGACCAGGGCCAGGACCAGGACTCAGCTCACAGATCCCATTACCCCTATAGTGACACTACTCACCACTCATACTCCGGCTGGCCCTATACCAGTTAGGGACAGTCCCCGGGCACCGCTCACAGCTCCCACTTATGCTACACCAGCCAGGAACCGGCTTGGTGGGAAGGAGTCCTCCAAGGTGCCTTCTCCTGGCTCTTACCCCTCCCATACGGTCCAGCCTCTTCTCTGAGCTGACTATGCACCTAGGGCAGTGGTCGGCAAACTCATTAGTCAACAGAGCCAAATATCAACAGTACAACGATTGAAATTTCTTTTGAGAGCCAAATTTTTTAATATAGGTAGGTACATTGTTATTAACTTAATTAGGGTACTCCTAAGGCTTAGGAAGAGCCACACTCAAGGGGCCAAAGAGCCGCATGTGGCTCGAGAGCCGCAGTTTGCCGACCACAGACCTAGGGGTCTTTCCATTCATGTAGCCCCTCAGAGCCAAGCCCCTGTCCTCTGCCCTCACCCATGTGATTCAGAGCAAGGGCTGAAGCATGTGTTTGCACATCACTGGGAATCCCTTCTGGGCACCCTGCCTACGCTGATCCCCACAATGTGGGGTCAGACGGATGGGTCCTTGCAGGGGGTCGGAGGCAGGTGTGTGTGTGGCGGGGGGGTGTCCAACATGAAGGCGTCCTGAGAACGGGTCTCTGGGAACTGAACCAGGAGATCGGCACTCGCCCAACTCACACCACAAACCCAGCCCAGACCTGCTGTCCCCCGACATGGTCAGCACCCACCAGCCCGCCCTTCACAGACCATGTAGATTGTAAGACCCCCCTGTTAGTAAGGAAGTGACTGGGAAGGGCAGCTCTGGCTCCCAGGCACTGGCGGTGGGATTTCAGGCAACATCACACAGACGGTGATCAGACAGGCCTTATCTGATAGGGGCTTCCGGAACCTGCGGGGCGGCGACAGCATCCCCATGTGCCCTTGGAGCCAGGTCAGGCCACGCCTGCCACACAGGCATCCAGGTGATGTGACCCCAGAGACTATGCTGGACCCTGCGGGGCCTTGTGGGGAGGGACCAAGCAGGATGGGGGCCCCCTGAGCATTTCAGAGGGGGCAGCTGTGCTGCCCTCAGTCTGTCCCTGCCACCCACCACCATGTGCCTCGGTGGTCTCTCCTGGAAAGCGGGCCAATACCTCTGTGGAGCCATTGTGAGGTCC